AAAACCATGAAAATTGGTCCAGCAGATCTCGAGTTATAAGTGTAGGAACACTTTTCACAACTCTCTTTTATATATAAAGAAATATATTTAATGCAATTTCGATTTTTATCAAAATTGTGGCCAAAGCGTTAGGGTGTAGTATTTCAAATATGCTTTTTAAAAATTTAGCAGTGAGAGGTGGAATAATATAGGGGTGAGGGTGAATTATAACAAAAATCTTAATTATGTATGTATAATATACACATCTTAGATCTTCTGAGATCGAGTTGTTCAAACAGACGGACATATGAAAATATGTATTCATTATTATTATTACTTTATAAAAGTTCGGTTAACATACTGTCATTAAAAGAGGATTTATTCAACAAAAACAATTCTTATTATATTCCTGCAGCCCAAGCGCAGTTGCTGCTGACTCAGACAGCAGAGCACTTGCTTATGTATGATAGCAATGAATAACAGTTCTTTGCAGAGTTCAAGGGATCTGGTAACAATACAGCCGACGAGTTGATGATACTTTTGTAATAACTTTCGGTACATAGGCTTTACAATTAGGTTGATTTAGATGCTCGTGTCTATTTATGCCAATTTCGAAATAAGAGAAAAAATGAATATTGTTATTTATTTATCTGCCCTTTTAGTAGGTTTTCTAGGTAACTTTCTTTCGAAGGGTCTTAAATCAAATCAATTAATTGTTAATACGGATGAAAAAACATTAAAGCCAATCGCACGATTGAAGGAACCTCGGGATTTATTCGCGCTGCCTAAGGATAAGGACAATGATTGCTCACAGCAGGCCCCCAGATGGCCGGTAGAATGCCAGGTGAGAAAATATATATATATATGTATTTATATACATATAATATAATATAGTATATATAATATACATGTACTGCAATTAATTAATTGTATTTCTATATATGTCCGTATGTGTGAAGGAGTCGATCTGAGAATTTGTTTTTAAATGTCCGTATATATAGCGTGGATATCGAGTTTATTTCAAAATATCGATAGCTCATTGTTATCGATAAACCCATATCGAAAATCAGTTAGAAAATTTTATCTCCTACATCTTTGAAGCTATAATCTCCAAATTTTAAATTTATATTAAGATGCATTTTATACAATTTATGTTTTTGTTAAGAGATACCCCCACCCATATATCAACCCACACACCCTCATATTTGTATATTTGTAAAAGGCGTTTTTCGAATACTACAGACATGTGCTGTATGCATGCATATTTAATCATAATCTGAAAGTGTGTATGTGTGAGTGCGTGTATGCATGTGTAATGTTTACTGAAACATCAGTTGCTCGAAGCATTCAGGCGATCTCGTAGTCGAGCAGTCTCCACTAGAGCTTTCTCACTTGTTTTGTTTTGAAATTTGACAAGCACTAGACAAGAGGAAATTTGAGTCAAACAAAGGAGTCATCAGCACCAAATATGCCTACATTGCTGATATCCAGAAAACGTATTTTCCAATTAGATTATCGCTGCCTTCATAGGCAAACTTCTTTATATATCGAATACTAGTAGGCAAACATAACACAGTGAGAGGTTTAAATCATTTAACTTATTTCTCAGGTCATTGGAGAGCGAATTATACACATTCCTTATGTGCCAGTGCAACCCGAACCACTTAATGTGCCAACGGGCAATGAGCTAAAGCCGCGCCCAGTTGGTGAGGAAAACGGCATTGTTGTTTTTTCATACTGTCCTATAAGTGCTGTAAACTATGTGAGTACTACAATTTTACTTTTTGTGATAACAATAAATATGCACAGCTAGCACACTCACATTTAACAAACTTGGGAGGGCAGACATAAGATGGTGATTTCAACGAAAATTTTTTTGTTGGGATATTTTCATATTGTATTGAATTTTAACAATAATACAGGAAAGCACACGTACAAATATCAAGACAGAGGATAAGTCAAGTGAAGATTCAGATGACTCTTCGGATTCTAGGAATGAATTCATGTCTGTCAATCGGAGAATGACGCTACAATCGGGGAAAACACAGCTAAACAGTGTGTCTAAATTATTTAATAGATTGGATGATCGCTCTACGAGCAATTCTCAGGATGAAGATAATGATGACTACCATGGAAGTGTGGATGGTCAGGAGATTCGTGAGAAACCCGTTATTCAGAGTCTCAGTGATGCGAAGAAAAAACGGTTCGATACTACAACACTGCAGCATAACGCAGATGGAATGGTTAAGGGCGAAGATATTTGGAAGAGCAATAGTTCTGAGTATAAACCCGCTTCGCCGCATTACGTTCTCAGTCAGTTTGGCAAAAAAGTATCTAAAGCGATTATTAAAAAAATTATCGATTACGACGAAAAGCCATCGATTGGTACTAGCAGCCTAACCCCAGAAAAGGTACAGAATAAATATGCAGTTACCCCCTTCAAGCTTCCCAAAACCAATATTTCGCGCTTGGAAGTTGCTTTTCAAGGCGATTCACAGCAATCATTTCAAAAAGTTTCACATTCACGCAAAAGTAGCATGATGAGTGACACGGACGAAGACATAAACATCAGTGATGACTGCAGCATAGAAATGAATGACATTGTGAAGGACGACGTAATAAGTGGCTGCGATGGGAAAGTTGGTCGTTTAACCGGTGGCGCTGATAGGTGCCCCCCTACTAGCTCGAGCTCTGTATCGGATACAGAAACGCTAGTTGGGGAAGAAAGCATGTGCAGGCTTGCATGTAATAATCAATCAATATTAAAGTACAAATTAGACATCAGTACGAGTCGAAATCTCAATCTCAATCCATAAATTTTTAATTAATAGGGATAGAGCTTCAAACATTATTAGTACGCATACTTTTTAACTATTTCTAGCTTCTAATATCTAATATGTCCTTCGATTCTGTTGTTTTCACTGTCAAAAAATGCAATAGTAAATTTAATAATATATGTAGTCACATGGATATATAATATCATGTATTGCTTGAGTCTGAAGATTAAGCTCGTGCTGGAATCTAACTCCATTTAACTGAAGCGGAAATTGAAACATACTTTTTGCCCACAGCAGCACCGGATAAAATGCCTATGGATTTGCCTTTGGGTTCAGCACCGCTTTGTACGCGAGCCGTGACCATGGCTGCAGCAGTAGCAGCTGTGGCAAGGGGTCGTCGTCGAGGTTTTGAATCTATTCCGATTCTGGGCAGCAATATTGGGGTACCTCATATGAGTACTACCATTAACACTAGCACTTATGATCAAGCTAACGATAGACATAATCCTGAGTTTAATAATGTTAATGATCGGACAACCTTTCAATCTCAACATATTTCATATGATATTCCCCAAATGCAGTTCAGTCGCTCATCAGTGGGGGGCGCTAAATATGTGTCCAACTGTCATCCTATGAACGCCGAGGAGTACGAAAGTCTAGAATTTGAATCCCGCTTCGAATCAGGAAATTTGGCTAAAGCAGTGCAGATTACACCCACTTATTATGAGCTTTATCTACGCCCCGATCTCTATACAAGCCGATCGAAACAGTGGTTTTATTTTCGCGTTCGACACACCCGTCGTAACATGCTCTACCGGTTCTCTATTGTAAACTTAGTGAAGTCAGATAGCCTTTATAACGATGGCATGCAACCAGTTATGTACTCTACTTTAGGAGCAAAGGAAAAACACGAAGGTTGGAGAAGATGTGGTAACAACATATCCTATTATCGTAATGATGATGAGTAAGTATATATTCTAGTTATAAATTTCAAACTGTACTATTAAGATCTCTACGCAGAAGCAACAATAATACAAATGAAGAGGACGACGATAATTCGAGCTACACCTTGACTTTTACCATTGAGTTTGAGCATGATAATGATACAGTATTCTTTGCACATAGCTACCCGTACACATATAGTGACTTGCAGGTATGTAACAAAAATTATTTGTAGTAGTATTAAAAATCAACATAAAATTCCTTGTAGGATTATTTGATGGAAATACAGCGTCACCCTGTCAAATCAAAATTTTGTAAGCTGCGACTACTCTGCCGCACACTAGCAGGCAATAATGTGTATTATCTGACTGTTACTGCGCCATCTAATAATGAGGATACAATGCGGGTAAACGGTTATAAATAGCTAAGCTAGCTAAAAGGCTCAAATTTATTTTTAAAGCAGCGAAAAAAATCTATTGTTGTATCGGCACGCGTACATCCCAGCGAGACGCCATCATCATGGATGATGAAGGGTCTGATGGATTTCATAACAGGAGATTCAACAGTAGCAAAGCGTCTACGTCACAAATTTATATTTAAACTAGTACCGATGCTAAATCCAGATGGTGTAATAGTTGGTAACACTCGGAACTCTTTAACTGGAAAGGACTTAAATCGACAGTATCGAACTGTTATTAGAGAAACTTATCCATCTATTTGGTATACAAAAGCGATGATAAGAAGGTAGCTAGCTTACCCTCAAAAAATGTTGATATTTAGTTCATCCCATCCTTAGACTGATAGAAGAATGTGGAGTGGCCATGTACTGTGATATGCACGCTCATTCACGCAAGCATAACATATTTATTTATGGCTGTGAAAACAAACGCAATCCCGAAAAGCGGCTTACTGAGCAAGTCTTTCCGTTAATGCTGCACAAAAACAGCGCCGATCGAGTATGTCATATGCTCTCAGTTGACGTTCTTTTACTTTAAAACAAATATTTTTATTGTTTATTGGCAGTTCTCATTTGAGAGCTGTAAGTTTAAAATACAACGGAGCAAGGAAGGCACAGGACGTATTGTTGTTTGGATGCTGGGCATTACAAACAGCTATACTATTGAAGCATCTTTTGGCGGCTCTTCACTGGGGTCACGCAAAGGCACACATTTCAACATTCAGGTAAAATAGATTTCGGTCATTAAATTCCACATACGTTCGAAGAAATTTAATACTTATTATTAAATTTATAGGATTATGAGCACATGGGACGTGCGTTTTGTGAAACTTTATTGGACTATTGTGATGAAAATCCGAACAAAGTAAAGCGACATGCTAAATTATTTAAGCAAATCAAAAAGATAAGAAAACGCGAGAAACGCGAACAGAAAGCATTGAAATTACAAAAAATGGCCGATCAGGGATGTATAACTGAAAAATTAAGAGTAAAACGTTCTGTGGAGAGAACCGTCTCCTAGGAATGTTTTTGTACATTACACGTATATTGTGACACACATCCCCAAACATACAGCCAGTAAACCGCTTTCTCGAAATGGTTTAATACATGTAAATGTTGTATTGTTGTCTCTGTTGCTGTTTCGCTGATTACTCATTAATATATTTTAAAAGTTAAAATCATAATGCTTTAAAAGCGGTGGCTCATACCATCGAATAATGAAAATATATGTGTCAATATGCCAAAGTTATGAATTTGAATGCTATCTATCGCTAATCGCCGTATATATATATATATATATATATATATATATATATATA